GTTCTTAGGGGTGAGAAAAAGTCAAGTCATGCCCACAAAACACGATCTTGGTAACTCTTAGGGGTTCTTTTCAAAATTTCACCTTTGTCCTTTTTTTATAGGAGTTACTCCCCACTGAGGTTTAATTATCATAAGATTATGATCTTACATTGTAACATTCTATACATTTGTGCTAGGTCAGTTTCCTGATCATGCATCATAAAGATCACATATCACCAGGAGCCGGAAATACTAAGGTACAGTACATTCCTTAGTGTGGCTTTATGCATTTCATGAACCAGTTTTTTTTTGCAGGGTAGTATAATTTTATGCATGCTTGGGTTCTTGTCTGCAAAATATCTACTGGCAGTCCAAATTTATTAGTTTCTCTGAAATGATGAGTGATTAGACATACGACAGAGTATGTATTCAGTCTGATGTTGATACCTATAAGACAGCTTTTTTTCTTTTACTGGCAGAATGATTCGTACGATTACACAGGCTGGAAACGTAAAACATTTAACAGAAATCTGTGGGTAAGTTTTTTGCACCAAAAGTCAGCATTAAACCCCAGTAGCCCTTCAAGTCAGTGTTTTCTCTCCAGTTTCAATAGAATGAAGTGACTCTGAGTATTTTTACTCCACCCTCTCCTGATAAGGATACTATTAATAATGTGTCCTGCCTGCTCATTTATAAACCTTGGTGGAGAGAGGGACTATGAGTGAAGAGCACAGCACCATGACCCCAGCCTTGACTCAAACCTTAAGACCACTTGATTAATAGTTCAACACTCTGATTTCCCATATTAGACCACGACTCCTCCCACTAATTAAATGGTTAATGGTTATTTCTGCAGGGTAACTTTAGTAAAGACTATACAACAGGTCATGAAGAAAGTGCATTGACAGTTTTTGGAATACTGTTTAATGGTGTCACTGGAATCATGGGTATGGATGGTGTTTACACATTCACTACATGGATTTAGGCTTAGACTTTATAAAGAAATTTGATTGTTTATTATATGGCAAGTTAAATCCAAGCTTTCTGATTGGTTCTTTCTGGACGGAATTTTGCCATACAGACCATTTCCATAGCAACAGTTTAAGCTCTGAATTTTTTTTCTTTTTGACTGCCATGTAATTAACTACTTACTAACTTATTTAACCTGGCTTGCTTGAGCCATACTGGGGAATATTGGCCCTGGGTCATTTTTGCACAGACCTCGCTGCACTTGATCCATACTGTCACAACCTTGGGCCAATATTCCCCAATATGGCCCTTGTGCTTGGCTAGTTAAGAGGTAAATCATTAAGCTTACATTGTCTCTCAGTTACTATGCACACTGTAACAGATGAATTTTTATGGCCATATTCTACTGTACAGTAAGCTGTACCTGAAGTGAAATGGTTTGCTGAACTTGTCAGACAAAAAGTACTGAGGAGTTAATAAAAATAAATATTTTACTAACCTCTTCTCAATTTGTACATACACTACATATCCTTGTTTTTTTCCCTTCTATTTTTCCTTTCCCACATACTTTGTGTTTTGGCCGTAAATCAAAGTGAAAAAAAAAATGTGTGTTAGTGAAAGGTATGGTTTGTATAAGGGGGATGTACATGGTGGCCTCATGGTTAGTGGGCTCATCTCTGAATCAAGCAGTCCAGGTTCTAGCCCTGGCCGGGGACATTGCGTTGTACTCTTGGACGAGACACTGTACTCTCAGAGTACCTCTCTCCACCTAGGTGTATAAATGGGTACCGGTGACCTTAATGCTTGGGGTAACCCTGGGATGGACTAGTGTCCCATCCAGGGGGGAGTAGAAACACTCCTACATGTAGTCACTTCACGCTACAGAAATCAGGATATTAGCTCCAGCTTGATAGGCCACTTGGCTTGTAGACTTAATTACCATTACCTTTTTATGGTTTGTACAATTGAGTAAATGTGGAGCTGTTCACTGTCATGCTAATTACATAGATGTAAATCAAAAGATTTCCTCATGCTTTCTGTCAAGTTAATGCAAGATACATGTTTCCTGTTTTCTTGATCAGCTGGTGCCAACATGTCCGGAGACTTGAAAAGACCTGGTTATGCAATTCCATTTGGTACCTTAGGAGCAAGTCTTTTTACATTCATTGTGTACATTGTTTTAGGTAAGTCAATTTTTCGTGCCTGCGTGTTTAATTAGGAAGAAATAATTATTATAATATGTACTTACTGAGATGTACAATCTTCATGTAATAACAGCACTGGTAATGTTTTTCAATTTTCTATGCCTTTGGTTACTTAATATGAAATTCGAGCAGAGTGCCATTTTGGCTAATAGTAATTTAAAGTGATTAATATATAAACTTAAGATAATACTTTAAAACACCAAGTTTCTATACCAATGCCAAGTGTGTGTTTTGAACTGTTATGGATGTACAGTAACTGCTATCACTGTGACACCAAAGTTCATATACCACAATCATATTTTGCATTTCCTCCTTCCAATGTAGCCATTGTTGCTCAAATAAGCTGGAGAATAAAAATTCTAGTTGAGCACTTTCTAGCAATTAATAGGGGGAGGGCTAAATTCTGGCCAAGGGTTAGGAATAATTGTATATTTCTAGCTCAAGAATAACCAGTCAATATGAAATCATGCAATACATACAAAAGGC